ATATATATATATATATATACAATTATATATATATAATGATTTATATGTAGGTATATAATTACACTCTTATATAAGGCAACTTTTTTACTTTTTCAAATTTGACTTTTTTGAGAAATAATGCGGAAAATTATTCTTTTAATTATTTTTTACCTTTATAAAAATAAAAATGATGTGGTATGCAATAATTTATGTACTTCTTTATATATAACTACTAAAGTTATTTTTGCAAAATATAATTTTACATATTTTCTGCATTCTCAGCAAACTTACAGTTGTCAGTAATACTGTAATGTCAATATTTCGCAAAAGCGCGCTTAGCAAGGTTATTTATTGCTTAATATATTATGGTATTTTTTGAACTCTCCTTACAGTCCATTAATACCTTCAATAGTCCGTTAATATCTTCTTTCTTAAATAATGCAGATCGTTACTACAATAATTCTAATTTTTCTTACACGATACATGTGTTTATATGCCACAAGTGACTTAGGCATTTTCAATAACATAAATATTTTTAAAAATTTATCAAATTCTTGTGTCTTCGGCGTTACATCGGTATCAATTGTTTTGTTCACCAGGTAAAATATACGTTACTATCTAATGTTTATTTATTTCTCACGTCACTTTTGTTCATATATTTCTTTCAGTAATATTCCTCATGGTAAATTTGTCGAAGTAAACAAATCCTGCGATTCTTTCGATTCATCAAAATCAGTCTTCTTCGTAACCCATGGTTTTCTTGCACATTCGTACTGGCCTAATTTTAATGAGCTTACTTCTTTATTGTTAGAGGTAAATACTTTTTATACATAAAAATAAAAACAAAAATGTAGTATTTCTTTTTGTATTTTCAAAATTTTATACTTTTTGTAAGTATAAGTAATAGAAAAATATTTTAATATTTACAATAAAATAATTTAATAGAACATAACTTCTTTTTTTCTGTATGTAGAAAGATTGTACAATATTTGTGCTAGATTGGTCTAACGCAGCATGCTATAATGATCCTACCATCATAAATCTGTTAGCGTATCCCTTCGCAGTACGTAACACTCGCGAAGTTGGTGATTACTTGGCAAGGTAGCTACTTTACAGTAATAATAATAATAATAATAATAATAATAATAATAATAATAATAATAATAATAATAATACAGATACACATCTGTAACATATATAAACCCAAATTCAAATAATTCTAATTCAATTAATAATCCAAATTCTAATAATTACGTATAATAATAAAGTTCAAATTATTTTCCAAATAATATTGTAATACAATACGAGATAATAATTAAGTAAAATCGATAGTATAGAGCATAAAATGGATATATTGGTTATTAAAATTTAACTTTATACATTATATCGTATATGTTATATTAAAAATAACAAAAATCGAACGATAATGTTAAACCAAATAAGATACGTCTTTAGTATATATATTTGGATATATATTTGTACAAGATTTTTCTTTCAGTTATGTCAAATCAGTGATGAATGTGTGCAATGTCCCGTTGAAGAAGATCACACTTATAGGTCACAGTCTTGGCGCGCATATAAGCAGTTTCGCCGCGAAAAACCTGCAGAAATCAAATTACGGTAAGATTCCGTTACTCATCGGTACTGATCCCGCGGGTCCCTCATTCATGTTTCGAGATTGCGAAGACAGATTTTGTAAGACGGACGCCAAACGTGTAGTAGCTCTTCACTCATCATTCATTTTCGGAATACAAAAATCTATAGCTCACCTCGATTTATGGTTCAATAATGGCAATTCTCAACCAGCTTGTGAGTAATTAATTATTATATTTAACTAAATATTCGGAAAATAAGTCACTATAGCAATAGCTAACAAAAACTAAAAAATTATATAATATATAGCAAAAATTTTTGTTTTAGGCCATTTTCTTGAGTTTAATTGCTCGCATAATATAGCTGTTGATTATCTGGCTCATACGCTATTAGATAATTGTGTGTATGTTGGCGTTCCTATATCGTAAGTTTCTTGTTAATTAAAGGGGCATGTTTAAATTTAAATTAATTATTTTCTGGATAATTTACACGTGTCATAAAATCAAATTACGTTATTTATTTTTATTGTTTTCAGATCTAGAACATTCCCGTTTTTAAAGTATGTATTAAATAAAAAAGTATTTTCGTAGAATTTCTTATTTATAGACTCTAAACATTTATTTTCTAATTTATTATGACTGCATGCTTTTGCAGTGTTATGCCTGGTTGCTCTTCCAATATTACCAAATATATTGTGGTGAATAGCAATTTATTTAACGATAGCTATTCTATAATCGGAGATTACTGTGTATCTGTTACATCGAAATATCCCTATTGCAAGAAGAAAGAAAAACTCTACGAAGGAAAAGATCTACGTATATTATAATCAACATTTTAATTTCATTGTAATAAAAATGAAATTATACACTGAAAGAAAAAATTAGCTTCTGCTGCAAATTAGACGGTAAAACTAAAAATATAACATAGCATTTTTAATTGGCTTCAAGAGCCAATTTTTGGTTGCATTAATCTATCCGCGATGTCAATATATAATATAATAATCCATTAATCACCAAAAAACCAATTAATTTTTTGTCTAATGGAGAGATGTGTTGCTACACCTGTGCAGCTAATTGATGACCATCCTACATGGAATTTGAAGGGGTATTATTTATATCATTGAAAATGGCTCAAAGAGTAGCCGAAACGTTTGAATTTTGATTAAATTTATAATTATATTGTAATAAAGAATTTTAAACTCGCACTAACTACCGCAGTTTTTGACTCTCATTAGCCTGTTTGTTTATTGTTATAATATAATAATTTTTAATAGGCTAACGCAAAAGTTAGCTGCTGCAATTAATTAAAAATGTTATGCCATATTCAGCCAATCTTTTCTTTCAATGTATTATATACTTGTCAATCATACAATAAGGATAATGAGAGTAATGCTTTGTTGCATAATATGTCTATAGAAGGTATATCATTCTCGCCATAGTCTTTATAATGTTTTTATGCATCTGATAATTGATTTCCGTTACGTATCTGGCATTTCTAAGATTTGTGCGTATACATAAATAATAAAAATATATGTAATTGTTTTGCATTAAATATAAGCTAAAAACAAAAGTTTCGAGAGGGACATGTGACGGTAATTGTTTTATAGGTGGAGGCGCAACCAATAAACAAAGATCAAATCTGTTTTTTTAAATGGAATGATATGTTTTTTTAATTACATTCTGATAGAGCATTTTAAGACCAACACATGCAGTGACCTATAATTGAAGATCATTTAAGATTACGCAAAGTCAATAATGGAAAATAATTAAATGAAAAATAAATTGTTTCAAGGCAATCTCTTCGAATAATTTCATGTCTTTTCTGCTTGTTGGTTCATCGCTAATCGTTCACGTGTATCACGGTATGTAAATAAACATTGAATCGCACATAGCATTATCTATATTTACTGATCAGTTTATTTATGAAAGCAGAAAAAGTCGATATAAATTTCATCTATGGTGATCTTTTATTTCGCAAAATATTTAATATTGCTTGCACAATTTAAAGAATTGAAAAAAAAACGCAAAGTGGGGGTTGACAAAAAAAATCGTCTTTTTTACTTTTTCACGTACTTTTCATATTACGATATTAATATTCGAGCATTACAATGCAGAACAAATCTGCAATAGCACATCTCTCTCTCTCTCTCTCTCTCTCTCTCTCTCTCTCTCTCTCTCTCTCTCTCTCTCTCTCAAAGTAATTTTTTTTCCAACTTTGGATACAAAATACACCACAGGCAGATACATTAGCATGTACATTTTTATCGAAGAAAAGGAATTTTTATTTTGTAAAATAATTATAAATTGGACAGGAATAAAAACGTCAAAAACGTAAGTTTTATCAGTAATACAAGCGATTCCAGCATCCCTTTAAGCTAACTGCTACAATAGCGTAATCTTTCCTATTGCCTTTTGGTATTATAAATCAGCGGAAAAAGTAAGTGAGATAATTTAAAATATTTAATTCTTACACCATGGTAGCAACTTTATGATTTTTATTCTGAATGACTTCATAAATATTTCATAAACAATCATTTAGCAGTGCCTCTTAGGTTGATAGCAGACTTGGCACGTGTACGAAAACTCAACAGACGCGTCGCATCTATTTGTTATAAAAATATGTTATTAATAATAATATTGCGCATTTCCTCTAGTACAAAGACATTTATCATTGCGCGTGTATTATCGAAAATGTTACCGCGATCTTCTTTTCTTAACTCGAACAATGAAAGCTCTCTGTTTATAATAAAATGAAATCGTCTTTTTTTTTTTCGTTTATAAAGCTCTATTTAAAATAAACGAAAAATTGAGGTAAAGATTCACAAATGTTATACTATATATCTGTATAAATATTTATTTTATTAAAAATGTTTATATTTTCAATCTTGTAGCGAAAATTTATTTCTCTAATTTTTATTGCGTTTGATAATTATATTGCTATTGTAATTATTGTAGTTATTATATGTATATTATAATTGACTATTTTATTTCAAAATGTTCATGGATTATATATTCTCAGATACGATTATGCGTATCTCCCGCAACAAATGCACGAAATTTCGTTGAAATGATTATGAGATCTAAAAAAAGAATAAAAGATAAATTTTGTCGAAACACATGTATATGTATGAACAAAAGTTTGAAGAAAAGTTTGACGGCCTTGAGTAATTATTTCACAATATGTGATTCATAATTGGAACAGTCGCATAATCGGTTACGTTTATGCTGCATTATCACTTTGCACGCGCGCTCTTTATTAGTTTGTCGTTTTTTTGCACTGCTAAAACTGTCCGAAAGATAAGAGAACATCACGATTAATGTAGTAATAATTTAAACTCAAATAAAAAGTAAATTTTGCGTTAAAATAAATATTGTATATTAATTTCAATATAATTCTCTTCTTCTTTTCACTTTGCGGATTAATTTACAACATTACTTTTACAAAAGATCTTATAACGAAAGAATGATTTGTGTGAAATACATAAAAATGCGACGTGTTACACTTTCCGAAGTGTTTCAAAGTGAGTAAGTATGAATTTATTTTATTCTACGTTTTGATTAAAAACTTACACGGATTATTAAATGATATAAAAAAATAATGATATTTTCACAATCTAAAAATTTTACTTCAAATCATCTTTAATCTTCTATATAATCTTGGATCTCTTCTCTACGTTTTTACAGACGCGAGATCATCTTCAGAATCTTATTGGTTTCAATACACGAGTCTTTTGTAACGCAACCGATCTCCGCGTTGCTATTCCTTAGACTCGTAACAATAACTTTGGAATTGCGCTGAGAAAAGAAGCATAGAAATAACGTCAATCGTGCACAGAAAAGGCGGGACAAAGATCAATCAATTGTACCCCAGTGAACAGACAGATATTATTCAAATGATAATAAACGAGCAACTTGTATCTCTGCTACATAGATCGCGTGCATTTGCACCATTTATACACATATATACCTATGAACATATATATATATGAAGATGAAGTTAAAGATGAAGTCAAGAGTCAAGATGCGCATCTTGACTCTTGACTTCATCTTTGACTTACAAAATAATCGGCTCTTCCCTTGCGCACAAAAATGCAGTGTGTTCCATAATCCGCGGTTTTTATTTTAATTGTAAACTGCTAAAGTTTTAAAATCAATGTTTTAATGAAAGGAGAGGGGGGGGAGTACTCCATACACATCATATGGAAAATGCGTCCTCCCGTTAAATTGGCTGGAATTGAAGTATGTTGCTGTCCTCGATGTCCCGAACCAAAGTCTCAATGGGCACAAATAATTAGATATTTTTAAAGTAGACTTTATTTAACTCTACAAGGAAACGGGGTGTCGTCTTGTCATACAAAGTGACATATGGTATGCGCGTGCATTTATCATACAAAATTGCATTTCGTATGACAAGACAATGCCGTTTCTTTGGAGGATTAAATAAAGTCTACTTTAATGAAATTTTAATTTAATACTTTGGAACACACACACTTATAAACATTACCTAATATGTACATATCAATTCTGTCGAAACTTTTATTACTGAAAGTCCTTCCAGAAAATAATAAACAACGATATCCATTTCATCGATAACGTTTAATAGGAAAAATTGGTATAAAAAAAGTAGACAAAATATAAAAAAATTATAACTCAACATTATTTTGCAATACGAATGTAATAATCCGCGATATTTTTACCTGTTTAACACGAACCCGTTGTCCAGAAGCTATCACATTTTAAGAAAAATGACATCAGAAAGACAAAATCGATGAAATTGAAGATTTTTATGACATTGTAACATCGGTAGCAAACTTTTTTCTACACTTTGTTAATGTTACGTGAATTATAACTTTTAAATGTATTTTGTTTTACTATAATTTTTTATTTTCAAGATATAACAATTTGAAAATATAATTCCTTTCGTATAATACATGACAAAAATACTTTGTTTCATCTTAATATTGCAATTTATATGAAAAATAATTATTTTTTGTAATTATCTATCCTAATATAATCAGACAGTACAAATTCAAAAAGCAATATTAAACTGACAAAGTACAATAGTAGCATATAAAATAAAAAAGATTATAATTTAACTATAAAAAAGAAAGAAAAAGCTGCTATATGCGGATTATCGCCGTGTCTTTCTTCATTATTAATTGAAGAAAATTAATACCCGTGAAAGCCTCAAAAGCGTAATAAAGCAAAAGCTGCTATATTCATGCATTTTATCGATTTTTAAAACGAAATAAAACACATAAATACACCAGAAATCTTTAAAAACTATTTTAATTAATTATAAATTTATTTTTCATTACAAATTGTAAACTATTATTTATCACTTAAACTGTATATTCCATTTATACTTTAACATCACGTTTGAGTGTTATATAAAAAAAATTGTCTTTTTATTACGTAAGATAAAATTGAAACGTTAGCGGTTATCTTTGAAACGATTGATGTTTACAGAGGAAAATTTATAAAATTAAACTAATTTTTTATCGAATTCGTATCGATTTTGATGATTAAATGACGATAATCTTACTGTTGCACAATGTACTTCTGTCATTATTCGCAATACTGGTCGTTGCGATAAGTGTCAGCCGATACGATAACAATGAATAACGGTATGAATTTAACTTTAAATTCTTCCTACTAAACTTTCTCATTGTAAAAAATTGCCGACTATATTAGTTATAGATATATTTAAATATAATTTTAGACCTAGCGACAGCGCTGCAATCGCGCAGTTTCAAGTCTTTCGTATCATTTCTTTCATTTATCACTAATAAAAAATTATTTAAAGATAAATTAAAGACATAATAAG